GGTGGACAACGTTAATGACATTGACTGTATATAGATAAATCTTATTTACCCTCGGCTTAAAATGAGACTGGGTAGGTCTTTAGCAACAGACATGCTAGTATGCTGAAAACTAAATAATTGAATTGTTTTAAATTAGAAATTAAAATAAATCAATAAATAGAATATTTTTATAAACTATATTATATTCCATATTAGTTAAAACAATTATTCGGTGAATATTCGCTGATATTCACTTCGCCTACAGCTAAAAATTGCTATTAACATATTTATACAAGTGAATATGATAAATCCGGCGAGCTCATTGGTCACAATTTACGTGTTATGCTGCTATATTGACCTACAGGTGAATTAACGCGCGCACGCGCACCGTCTTTTGTCCATTTGTGCCGCTTGCAGAGACAAAAAAATTGATGATAGTTTTTTCGAAAGCTCCGGTGATAGACAATTAGAACTAAATATCAGGGTGGATATTTCATAATTTCGACACGGATGGCGTTTCGGTGAGAGCGCTAGCCTCTCACCAAGGCGACCCGGTGCTTTGGGGGGCTTTTCTTCAGGTTCTTCGATTTTCCTCCCTCCGCAAAAACGATCTTCTAAGTTCTAATTGGAATACTATTTCTTCTTGTTTTTGGCAAGACGAACATTTTGCACTTGTCTAGGTTCAGAGAAAGACCGCAGTCACGCAACCATTTGGATGTGATAGCCAACTCGTTTACAAGTGCGGACTGGAGTTAACTAGGATCCTGATGACTGAAAGGTATCTGATTATCATGGGCATAGCTGGATAACACTGTAACAAAGTATAACAAGTCGTTTAGGAAAGTGTTAAAGAACAAGGGGCCCAACACAGAGCATGTGGGACTCCTCTGAATATTTCCCTAGTGCCTGAGGCCCGGTTCATACGTCGAACTTTTCATGAATCGAACCTAACACGTTGAAGATCCGTACCTATATTCTAGCTACTATACTATACCTATATCCGTACCTATATTCTAGCTACTAAAATATTGAATCCACTAAATTAAAGTCCCGATTTTGAGGGTATAAAGTTGACACGCTGGAAATAATAGTAAAGTCCAAGGAAATATTCATCGCTTAATATTTGGAAAACGCTGTCATACATTTTTTTCATATTGCAATATGTTGGGTGCCTTGATGAATACTATCGACTGGTGCAAGTCGCTTTGAAAGTTTAGGTCTAGTTTTTGAGAAAATAAGCGGTAAACGATTTCTATGATGTCAACATTACGTCATAATGAAAAGGCCGCTTTGAACTAATTTATCATTTTTGAAACCTTTAATCCTTTCCTGACATTGTGTGAAAAGCGCTTGCAGATCGAGTCATTCAAGATGACGTTGTAGCTGTTTCAATGCGGCTAGGTGTACCAGACCAAAACTACCCAGAGCCTCCTTAATATGATAGAAATTGGAAAAATTTAACCTTAAATTGTAATAATATTTAATATGCCGAAGTAGCTTGCAATATACACAAAATGGATATAATTAAAATCTAAGATGATAATTTAAAAAAATCTAACATCAATATTAAGTTATTGATTGTTGTTATACTATTAGCAGTGCGCACTTGGTCAGGTAAAGCGTTCCATATTTTTGCAGCAGTGTAACGCCAAGATTTGAGACCATAGGTAGTATTGTTTCTTTTCGGTACCTCCATAATATGATTCCCTCTAAGGTTATAATTATTTGATCGTTTCTGTAATAGTTCCTTGGAAACTTTATGACCATGAGCTACTTTGTAAACACTGGTAGTCATTTTCAAGATTCTTTGATTTAACGGAGACAGCATGTTTAGTTGTTCAAGTAGCAGATCATAAGCAGTCGATTTATCACCTGTCACAAAACGAAGAGCGAGTTCGTTGAGTTTTTCTAGCTTGGTTTTGGCCTCTTTTGGCACAGTGATGCCAAGACTCAGAACAATGAGTTGAAATGTGGAGCAATAAAAGCATGATAGACATCTTTCCTAGTCTCCAATGGCAACATCTTCTTGAGGCGATCTGTCGACCAACTTCACCAAGTAGCTCTAACTCATCTTTGACAAGAATGGTAATGTTTGCATGTCTGCATGTGAGCACGGGATTTCTATCTGTTTTGCCAAAAGTGATAGCTTGATATTTTGAAAGATTCCTTTTCATTTGATGATTTTTGTACCACTTGTCCACATTTTCCAGATCTAAGTTGATGGCTAATTCCACATCATCGATATTTTCAGCTGGCTTGAAAATTTGAGTGCCGTCAGCTTATGAAAATAATGTACTACGTTCTATAATATAGGATAAGTCGTTCATGAATACTCTTTATTATATGACAAGGCTATGACTGAGCGTACGTACTTATGATCTTTTAAAACATTCAAATCTTCGTTACAAAAATATTTCTTGATAAAAATCGTCGAAAAACCTTAATAGATTATTATAGATAACTGAAAGTCACTGGCATTTAATGTAAAACTTATCATACAAGCGACAACTCTTTTGATCAAGGCTCTACACGGCACTAGTTGATCGATTTTATACGACTAGAAAAACTAAAACTAAAACTATGTAAAAGTACGAACTAAAGTTCAGTAAATGAAATAAAGAATTAACGTAAATTTGTTATTTCAGTAAGCTTACAACGTAAAGTTTGAACTTACCTGAATCGATCGGGCGGAAATGCCAGTGGTTTCTTTCTTTAACATTTTAAGCAGTTTTCTAGGCTCATCCGCTCTTAAGTAAAAG